TATATATATATATATATATATATATATATATATATATATATATATATGCAATTTAAAGTTAACATCTGCGGTGATGTCAATGACCCAGATGTACCTGAGTAGAGTCTCTCAGATCTGAGGGGGGCTCCTTAGGGTAGATTGCTGGAAACATTTATTTCCAGGTGCTGGTGACACATAGGGTTTGGTTACAAAAGATCTGCGGCTAGGGACTAGAGAGATGGCTCAGCAGTTAGAGCCCTTGCTTTTCTTGCAGAGGGTTAGGAAAACCAAGGTCACCCCAAAGCAGGCAAAATCATGCCTAATGATAAACTGAAGACCAATGCTTAAATATGGAAAGAAGATTCTAGAAGGGTATACAGTTACCTGTGAGGGGAGGGCGTTCTTACTTAACAAGTTAGGATTCTTCCATATTTTAATTGTCACTCTAGGCATTTATTATGAAGATTTTAAAATCACCAAAACAACAACAAAAAACCAATTAAGAAACAAGATGCTAGTTGGGCGCGATGGTGCATGCCTGTGATTCCAACACTCAGAGAGGCAGAGGCAGGAGGATCTCTGTGAGTCTACAAAGCCTGGTATAGAGAGCAAGTCCAGGATAGCCAAGGCTACACAGAGAAACTCTGTCTCGAAAAACCAACCAACCAACCAACCAACCAACCAACCAACCAACCAACCAACCACCTACCCAACCAACCAACCAACCAACCAACAAACAAACAACACCACAAATGAGATGCTTAGGACTTGCTGTTTAACCATTCCTCTGGGACCCCTGTTGGGCACAAAGGGCCTCTGAAGCTAATGGGACCCTGGATTCTTGCCCCCCACAACCCGTGTGGCCAGAAGGGGTGTTGCTTACCCGGGGCCCTGTGGCTCCATCTGTGCCTGGGTGGCCGGGCTCTCCCTGTGGGGACATAAGGATGCCTGCTGGTACGTGGGATTCTTGTACCCCGTCCCCTCTTCCCAAAGAGTCCAGGGCCCATGCGCTGGGGCCTCATGGCCTACATATAGGAACAGCCTTCAACACTCTGTAACAGTGGGGATTCTGAGGTCCTGGAGCCCAAAACTCCATGATAAGTTAGCCCAGAGCAGAACCCAAATTAGGCTTGTCACTGGCTGTGACCCATGGCCACCCTCCTTCAGAAGACCCTGCTTGTGAGTCAAAGGGGACCCCTGACCCAGGGCCTCCTGGGACTCTCTCTTTAAAAGTGCAAATTAAGAGGTAACATTACGTATCCCCCCTTCCCCCAACCCTGGTGACTGGGTGACAGTGCCAGTGGGCCCTTCAGGTACTGGGGCAGAGCGTAGTGACATCACCTTCAGTCCGGGAGGGCCGTCCACTCCATCCTCTCCTCGGGGCCCCGCATCGCCCGGCTCGCCCTGAAATGGGGAAATTGTCAGTGAAAGCAAGCAGAGATGCTATAGCCTGAGCCTGCTGGGCATTATGCTCAGGGCTCCTGGTGACTGCAGTCCTTCTGGGCTAGGGGATGGAGCTCAAGGTCTCTCTAGCTGGGGTGGGGGTGGGGGGAATTACCTTCTGGTTTAGATCTTGGCACAAATCTGAGGTAGCTCAAGAGACCTTGTGTGTGCACGGGTGTGCGTGTGCACACGTCTGTGGGAAGTCAGGGGAGATTCTGGGTGTCACTCCCTAAACATCATCCATAGTTTCTTTGTTTCTGAGGCAGGGCCTGGAACTTGCTTACAGAGGCAAGCTGGCAGCCAGCAAGCCCGAGGGAGCTGTTGGTCCACCTCCTCCGTGCTGAGGAGCCACCATGCTTAGCTTTTAAAAATACATACATTTATTTATATATTGTTCTTTTGAGACAGGGCTTCTCTGGGTAGCCCCTGGCCTTCCTGGAACTCATTCTGTAGACCAGTCTGGTCTCGAACTCACATCTGCCTGCCTCTGCCTCCTGCGAGCTGGGATTAAAGGGGTGTGCTACCATTGCCCTTAAATGAATAATTAAAAGGTATTTTTATCTTATGTGCACTGGTGTTTGCCTGTATCTATGAAGGCATCAGATCTTGGAGTTACAGAAAGCCATGAGCTGCCCTGTGGATGCTGGGAGTCCTCTGGAAGAGCAGTCAGTGTTCTTAACTTCTGAGCCATCACAATAGATTAATTTTTTAAATATAGGTTTTGAGACAGGATCTCACTATGTGGCTCTGGCTGTCCTGGAACTCACCAAGATCCACCTGCTTCTGCCTTTGGAGTGCTGGGATTAAATGCATGTACCACTATACCCAGTGTCCCTTTTAGAAAGGTGGGTTCTGGGGACCAAATTCATGTCCCCGTGTGTTCAAGGCAGGCCTTTTACTGACAGCCATCTCTTCAGTCTCTTGGGTTTTTCTGAGTCAGGGTCTCACTCCGTAGCCCAGGCTGGCCTTGAACTCAGATCCTCCTGCCTCAGCCTGAGATTATGGGTGTGCACTACCACGTTTGGTCCAAGAGACATTTGGGGGCAGGCTGGCTAGGACTTGGTAGCCGTGGCAAAGGGTTTGGGAAACAAGTTGTACAGATAACATCCTGTTCCCGGCTTGGTACCAGCCGGGGGATGGAGGGCCTAAAGTGGGAGCCAAGAGGACTTGGGGTGAGGAGAGACAGATGGCCTGGATGAGATGCCAAGTTGCTGCCAAGGTGGTCAGGGACCACTGCTTCCTCCCTCTGGCCTGTCCTGGGATCAGCCCATAGCGCCATGGTGTGAAAGGCCCAGGATAGAGGCATCTCTAGGTAGATACAACTATGGAGGGTGGAGGGTGGAGGGTGGCAGGCTTTGAGGAGGAGGGTGTATACTTACCTTGGGACCTGGGGGCCCGGGAGGTCCTGGCTGGCTGGGCATCCCATCATCCCCCTGAGGAGACAACAGCTGAGGCTGAAGGCATCCCACGTGGACATGTTGGCCACACTTTTGAGTGGTCCAGCTAGCTCCCACCTGACCTAGACTCACTGCACGCCTGCTCAGACACTAGTGGCAGGTGCTGTTCATAGTTAACCCTCTAAGACAGGGTCTGAGTCAGATCCACCTCAGTCCCTACAAGCAGCCTAGAGCCAGCTTCTGCAGACACAGGGGGTGGTCAAGTCCACTCATCCAACAAACAGCTGGTGAGCATCCCTTAGGGACCAGAGCAGACACAGTCCCGGCTCCACAGAGTCAGAGGGTGCCACGGGACACAGGGAAATAGAGGGAAGGCACTATGCCTGGGAAGGGACTGTGGGGAAAGCACACGGGACAGGGACTTGGTGTCAGCCTTCTGGAGCATGGGGCGTGTTTGCTGAGACGTGAATGGGGAAGAGGTAGCCAGTTTGGCGCAACACAGACAGCATTCGTCAGCGCTTGGTTCTCAAATTTATGTGTTCAGTGATCCAGGAGGCTGACTAAACAGACCCCAGCCCAAACCCAAAGTCTCAGGTGGGTCTAGGGTGAGTCCGGAGTTTGCTTTCATTCTCCCTTTCTTATCCTTCCCTCCCTTCGTCCCCTCCCTTCCTTTCTCTCATCCTCTCCCCTTCTCTTCTCTTTTCTTTCTCTCCCATCCCTTTCCTTTCTCTTGGGTCTCATGTATCCCAAGCTGGTCTCAAACTCACTATGTAGCCACGGATACATCCTCCTGCCTCTACTTTCATTTCTGACAAGTCTCCAGGGGATGGTGACAGTGCTGGTCCCAGGACCACACTTAAAGAGCTATGGTCAAGCTCTGATAAGAACATGGATATGATGAAAGGAAAGAATGACCGAGTGAGTGAATGAGTCTGGCTTCACTGAGACATAGGGCAGGGCCTTAACACAGCGAGAATCTGGGTCTGGGGAAAGGAAGGGCGCCTTCCTGTCCCATCCTTGTCCCCAGCTTCTGCCCTTCTCCCCAGCCACAGGGTCCTCTCACCTTCTTTCCAGGAGTGCCAGGTTCTCCCTGAAGACAAAACAAAATGAGGTGTAAGGGGGCGGTCAGTGCTCTGGGAGTATGGCCTGCACACCAGGCCTTTGTTCCTTCTGGTGCACCAATGACCTGTGGCCTGCCCTTGACCCACTGGGCCCTTAGACATATGCGTGTGGAGAGTCAGTCTGCCTTCGACTCCTCTTCTGAGCTTGGGGAAGTCTCTGTTCTTTAAGATGGGGAGGGGGCACCTCCCAGGCCCAGGTAGGTGTTGGAGTGTAACTGACTTGCTCACTGAGGCTCTTTACCCGTCCTCAGTCCAGGGACTCAGGATCCTGCACAGAGAACTTGGGTCTCCCTCCTACTCTAGGTACTGCCCTAGCCTGAAGAGGGAACCCTGGCATGGAGAGGGACTTCAGAGACTAATGTGAAGCCTGAAGACAAATGACCACACAAGAGCCTGCAAATCTTCTGTCAGCCACAGCCGAGGAGCAATCAAGAGGCCCTACGATGGATGGGTGGATAGGACAAAATGGATAGCAGACAGTGGAGCGCTAGCTAGGACAAAGGGCAGAGAGCAATCAAGGGAGAGACTATGAATCTTTCCAGTGCCAACCTGAAACTGCTGAACCCTGGAGGGAAGGTTTTGTTCACACTGCCTTGTGGAGAAGAAGCTATGAAGACAGCATCAGGATCAGTGGCTGCCGGGGGCTAGGGTGTGTGTGTGTTTGTGTGTGTGTGTGTGTGTGTGTGTGTGTAGTACATGCATGTACCCCCGTACATGCAGGATATCAGATGTAGATGTCTTACTCTATTGTTCTCTGCTCTTTTAAGTTTATTTATTTTTATTTTTATTTTTGCCTTGAAATAGTGTATCTTAAAGCTTGTTTCATCCATGCTGGGCAGGAAGCTTTTGGCATTTGCTTCTCTCTGCCTCCCAGTGCTGGGGTCACACACACACACACACACACACACACACACACACACACACACAGAACCATGCCTGGCTTTTTACTTAGGTGCTGGGGATTCAAACCTAGGTCTCCATGCCAGTTCCCCAGCCCCCAGCAAAGGGGGTTTTTAAGACAGTGAGATTATTGTTGGCTTATGTGACTGGAGGGCACAGATCATTGCACATTTGTCCCACAACAGTGCTCGGCACCCCCCTGTGGGCTGTGGGCTGTGGGGGACAGTGCGTCAATGTAATTTTCTTAATCGTGACACATGTATGACTCTGACAGGAGATTCTACAAGGGATTGGGGGGTGGACAGGCAAGGCAGGGGTGGGGGGGCTGTACATGAAAGCTTTGCATCTTTTCCTCAATTTGGCTGTGAATCTAAAACTGCATTGAAAATAAAGATTTTTAAACAAACAAACAAACAAACAAACAAACAAAACCCCAAACAGCCAGGTGGTGGTGGCACACACCTCTAATCCCAGCACTTTCGAGGCAGAAGCAGAGAGATCTCTGAGTTCAAGGCCATCCTGGTCTACAGTGAGTTCCAGGACAGCCAAGGGCTACACAGAGAAACCCTGTCTCAAAAACAAAGCAAAACAAAACAAAAAACTCCAAGCAAATAGACAAAAGAAGCCCAAACAAAACCCAACCCAACCTAACCCCCCCCAAAAAAAAAACAAAACAAAAAAAATAAAAAACCCAAAACTGAAACAAAATATTCCCCACAAAACCAAAACCAAAAATACCCCAAACATCCAAGATGTCACGTAATTCAACCCTCACAGTCTAGTGTAAAATCAAGGCAGGAAAGGTCTGCTATGCCCCCATTTAACAGGTGACTACTGAGCCTTGCAGATGGAGTAACCTGTCGGTCCTTTGAGCTGAGTCCCCTAACATCACTGCCTTGGTCTCACTGGTGGAAGCTGGGAGAGGAAGGTGGGGAGTGAGGCCGATGAGCAGGAGGGGTGCTGAGCACATACCTTGGGTCCTGGGAGTCCCTTGGGGCCCTAGAACAAGAGAAGAGAAGGTGTTAGACAGGGTGAAGGCAGGAAGGACGGAGTTCAAGGTTATTCTTGGCTATATAGTGAATTTGAGGTCAGTCTGGGATACATGAGACCATGTCTCAAAAAACCCAAATCAGGGCTGGTGAGATGGCTCAACCAGTAAAGGCACTGGCTGCCCAAGCCTGATCATCTTAGTTTAACCCTTGGGACCCACACAGTGGGAGAAAGCCAATTCCTCCAAGTTGTCCTCTGACTTCCACGTTGGTGTTATGGTGTGTGTGTGTGTGTGTGTATTCAAACACATACATGCATGAACACACACACACCCTAACAATAAAAACTCAGCCTCCTAAACAAGACAAAAGAAGACAAAACAAGACTCAAAACGAAAAGAAAACCCAAACCCCCGAAACCAGAACATCCTCTCCCAAAAGCCAAAAAAAAAAAAAAAAAAAAAAAAAAAAAAAAAAAAAAAAAAAAAAAAGAATGAAATTCTGACATATCTAAAAACTAGGATACACTGCAAGGAATCTGTGCTAAAAGGTGGGGGGTGGGGTGGGGAAAAAACTCATCCTTGAAGCTTCACATGAGGGCCAAGAGATGGCTCAGTGGTTAAGAACACTGAGCCTTGGGTCTGTCTTGTGGGTTTTCCTTTTATCAAGGGTGACACCACATCTCAGAGGAATCGGCAGAATTGTCCAGCTGAGTTCTAGGACAGATTCCTTGTTCCTGGAGCAGCGGCTGTGTCAGGGCTCAAAAGGTGACAGGCCAATGGCAGACCCTCACCTAGTAAGGTGAGGTCCTAGAACTCTGCCCAGGCTAAGGACTATGCCTATCCACATGTCCACTGTGGGCAAAGGGATGGGCACACAGGCATGGACATCTAATAATTCTGGTGTGAGCACATGAGGGTGTGAGAGTTTTATCTTGTCACCTTGATTAGGTTCAGAGTCACCATGGAAACACACATCGGGTGTCTGCGAGGGCATTTCTAGAAAGGTGTAACTGAATAGGGGTGATCCACTAAAAGTGGGCAACACTGTCCTGTGGACTGGGTCCTGGACTGAGTAAGAGAAGGTTGAGCACCAGCGTTCCTTTTTTTTTTTTAAAGATTTATTTATTTATTTAATGTATATGAGTGCTCTATCTGCATGTATACCTGCTTGCCAGAAGAGGGCATCAGATCTCATTATAGATGGTTGTGAGCCACCATGTCGTTGCTGGGAATTGAACTCAGGACCTCTGGAAGAGCAGCCAGCTCTCCAGCCCGAGCACCAGTATTCTTATCTTTACTTTCTGATTGTGGGCACCACGTGACCAGCTGCCCCATGCTTCTGCTGCCACGCCTTTCCCACCACAATGGATTGTGCCCTCAGACCGTGAGGAAAATGACTATTTCGGTGGGAAAGAGGTTTCCCTTTCTGGGAGCCACACTCCTGCGTTTTGCAAACACCCCGGACACTCACCACCTCGCCATCTTGTCCAGGCTCTCCTCTGGGACCCTGAGGAGGTATGTGAAAATAGCAGTGAGTGACCTAAGCACGTCACATAACTGAGCCTGAATCTCCTGCCAGGACGCGGGCAAGGGCTGTAAGCAGGGCCTCTAATTCGCCTTCAGTCAATCCTGAGAGGTGGTTGTTATTGTCCCCACTTCACAGATGAGAAGGCTGAGGCTTTGGGAAGTATGCGGCTAATATGACAATGGATGGATGAGCCAGTTGAGAGGACCTGCCTGATAGGAGCCTCTGGTGGTAGCCTGGTAGAGGTGTGAGCTCTGGGCTGGAGGAAGGACAGATTGGAGTCTCTGGACCAGGATGACAGAACTGTTTTCTGTGGGTTGGTCTCCTATGGTATTGGGGGGAAACTGAGGCACATTAATTAGTTTTGAGGGAGAGGGAGCAAGGGAGACGAATAGAGGTTGGTGAAGAATTACGGATAAACCGCAAACCTGTGGGTTGGTCTCTGGGTCAGAGTTGGGGTGGGGATTTGGAATGAACTTGCAACTCAAGGTTAGGGTCTGTGGGTCTTTTAGGGTTAGATTTGGGATCTGGATAATAGTCAGAGCTGGGGGGCATCAAGATTAGGGCTCGGAAGCAGGTCTGTACTAGATTAAAGGTTGGTTGTATGAGGGTCTGAGCTGTGGATGGGCTTGGGGCTAGTTGGGTCTAGGTTGAGTGTGTGCATTGGGTGATGGTTGACCTTTGGCCTACTGGGCGTTGGCTCTGGGGATCAGGGGTCAGAGTGTGCATCAATATAGGATCACCCCTTTGAGGCTCCAGTTCCACGCTTTCTCTTACCGCTGGGCCCTGAGCTCCTCTGGGGCCATCTTTCCCAGTGTCACCAGGAGGGCCCCGGGCGCCGGGTGGTCCAGGGGGACCAGGTGGTCCTGCGGCTCCATCTTGCCCTTGGGCTCCCTGAAAGACATATGGTATGACCTGACCCTGAGGGTGAGGGTGAGGATGAAGGCTTTTAGTTTCCAGAGAGGGGCTTCCTTAGACGGGCAGCCCCTGTGCCTTCCTTTCCCCTCGCAGGTGCAAAGGATGACAAGTCTTTGACATTGGGCTCTGGCTGCTTCTTGGTAGTGGCAGGAGGGGACCTTGCTGCCATCTTCTCAGCATCTGAAGCCTGGATCTGTTGTCAGGAGGAGAAATGACATATGTTGCCTGTGTGAGACTGGTGTCCCCTGCAGGAACTTCCTGGTTGGTTCTCTCTTGTTGCATTGCAAGTGGCAGGCGTGCATGACGGGGGAATTATTTTACTCTCACAGAAACGACCCCATATGGATATTGGCGGTAGCTTTTAGGTAACTGCCCAAAATGGAAACTCTCAAGACTTCCTCCCACAATCGAGAGGCTGAGCTACATGTCATGTTAATGCATGCCACTCAGCAGTAAACCAATAAACAAGGAACGGGCAAAGCCCAGCACTTGGGAGGCCGAGGCAGGAGGATTGTTATGAACCCAAGGCCAGCCTGAATTACAAGAGTTCCAGGCCAGCCAGAGTTGACTGTGGTGTTGGGTAAGTGACCCCAGCATGGCACTCAGGGGGGCATAGCCAGGAGGGTTAGGAGTTCAAGTCATCCTCAGGTGACATAGTCCATCTGAGGCTGGTCTGGGATACAGGAGACCCTGTCTCAAAATATCCAAACCAGGGCCAGCGAGGTGGCTGAGCTGGCAGGGGCCCTTGCAGTACAGCCTGACCATCCCTGGGAGCCACAGAGTTGGGGGAGACAGCCAACTCCTCCAGGCTGTCCTCCGACCTCCACGCTTGTGCTGTGCTGTGTGCGTGCCTACACACATTTTTGTGCATGCACACACATAACAAATGTTAATTAAGAAACAAACAAACAAAAGCAAACTGTAAAATTCAAACCCAAACAAAGGAAAACAAAAACGAAAACAACATCCCTCGAAAAAAAGAAAAGAAAAGAAAAAAAAAACCATTCTGATACATGAAAAAACATGGACGCTGTAGGGAAACTATGCTAATGGGGGGGATGTCCCCCAAAGCTACACATGAGCCTAGAGAGACGGCTCAGTGGTTAAGAGCACTCGCTGCTCTGGCAGGGGACCCGGGTTCAGTTCTGGGCATCCACATCTGGTAGCACAACTGGCCCCTGCAAGCCCTGCACACACATGCCATACATCAATCATGCAGGCCCCCCACATACGAATAAAAATATTGAAGAAACCTTAAAAATATTTAAAAACTTACACACCGTGTAATTTCACACACCTGACATTACTGAGCGGGAAAGTTAAACAGATTGAAATTAGTGGTTGCCAGAGGCTACGGAGGAGAGAGGGAGGAGGTTGAGGGAGGGATCTTTGTGTGGTGGTACTATATAGAAGAAAACACACCTGCTCACACACTCGTTCATACACACATTTGTGCACACTCGGACCCAGCACACACACAGCCAAGCACACACGCCTGCACACACTCATTCACACATGCTCACACACTCGAGCGTGCCACGGTTAAACACACACGCTCACATAGACTCCCGCTCAAGCCCAGACGCTCGGGCACACACAAGCACGGGTAAACGGGGGAAATCTGAGGAAGGCTGGTGGGTGGAGCCACCATCGGCTTCTGCATGGATAGTGTGGACCACAGTGGTTCAAGACGTCGCCGTAGGCACAACTAGATGAAAGTACACGGGGGATCCTTTAGCGAGAGTGGATTTACGATGGCCTCAAAGTAAAAAGACAGCAGCAGCAGCAGGCAAGGAAGGATGGCACACAAAATACCGACTCCGCACCCCGAGTTAGTACTAGGGTCAGACCTCAGGCGTCCTGAATCCCCACTTCATGGCCCTTTGAGAAGGGAGGTCTGTCGTGTGACTGGCCCAGGTGCTGGGGTCATGGTGCATTGTTCCCCGACCTTCTGGCAACCAGGAAAGGAAGAAGCCTTGCGTGAACCCAGCAAGCACTTCCCGTGGTCTAGTGCGGCCTCTGTGAACAGCTGGCCAGGGCCAAGCCGTCTTCCGTGTTGTAAATCTTTTCCTGTTGCCAGGGCAACTCGTCTTGTGTTTGGCTTTTCCAGATGGGGTTTCTCTGTGTAACCTTGGCTGTCCTGGAACTTGTTCTATAGACCAGGCTGGCCTTGAACTCACAGAGATGGGGCTGCCTCTGCCTCCTGAGAGCTGGGATTAGAAGTGTGGGTCACCACTGCCCCACCAGAAAGAAGATTTTGGACACCTGTACAGGTGTTTGCTTCTTCTTCTTCTCTTTTTTTCTTTTAAGATTTATTTATTTATTTAATGTATGTGAGTACTCTATCTGCATGTACACTCGCTTGCCAGAAGAGGGCATCAGATCACATTATAGATGGTTGTGAGCCACCATGTGGTTGCTGGGAATTGAACTCAGGACCTCTGGAAGAGCCAGTGCTCGTAACTGCTGAGTCATCTCTCCGGCCCCTGCTTCTGTTTCTTTGAGACAGAGTCTCACTATGTAGCCTTAGCCCTGGCTGGTTTGGAACTTGCTAGGTAGACCAGGCTAGCCTTGAATTTGCAGATATTTGCCTGCTTTTGCACGTGCCGCCTTACACTCTTCCCTTAACCATCTCTCCCCACTCCAGGGCTGGAATGCTGAGGTCTGGCCCTGAAAACACAGGGTGAGTAGGGGTTGGGGAGCACAGCAAACTAGCAGGCCAGGCCCCTTCACTCAGCCAGGCTACCTTGAGGACTCGGAGATTGTACCCACGATGGTCTCTACTTATAAAGCCTGGGTTGAGCTGTGGGAAAACCATCTAGAAACAGGTGGTGTGGTCAGAGAAGCAGGAGGGGACTCCAACAACAAAACAAACAAACAAACAAACAAACAAACAAACAATCACAGGGCTAAGCCACCTGACCCAGCCCAGCCCAGAGAAAGGCCACTTGTGGCTGGGTTTACTGAATGAGCCAACACCCATTTCTCCACCTTCTGCACCAGAATAGAGAACAGAACAGAATACAGCAGGGAAGAGTGGTGTCCCATAGCCTAGCACAGCATAGCGTAGGATGGCACGTGGCGGGTGTGATGCTGGGTCCCACACTGGGTGGGACTCCTAACAGATGTCACAGTGCTCTCTTCCTGCCCTTTGGAGAGCTGCTCCCAGAAGCCTCTCTAAGAACTCGGCACCAAACTGGGAGGAAGCCCCACAATGCATGGCAAGCACAAGCAGTTGCTCTCCAGCTGAGTGCAGACAGTCACATGGGCGATAACTGGGTGAGGGGTCACACGTGGGCCCCCAGGCACTCAGCCTGAAACTGCAAGAGAGGTCTTAGCTGGCTCCCCGGACCCTGAACGCTAAGTACGAATTGTCTGTTTAAGACCCTAAGCCTCTCTGTGTGGAGGAGGGAGTCAGTTCACAGCTGGCTGGAACACACCACAACATGAGGCAGGAGGCAGGATATCCCTGGCAAGGAGCTTCGGGAGAAGTGTTTGGTAAACGCAGGGCCAGAGGGATTCCCATCATTTCAGGCTGGGCAGCTCTACTGGGAAGATTAATTTCCATAAATCCCATCTGAAATCAGTGTTTCCCCAGCAGCCGCAGAAAGCACTCAGCATGGGGACAGGAGACAGGAGTCCACTCCGGCCCACGTGTGGCCTGGGGGTCCTGACCTCAGTCAATGGCCTAACAAGGAACAGTTCTGCCCATCAAAACTCAGCCTGTTTCATCCCCCTGCCTACGCCAGCTCTTGTGATCACACGCCCTGTGATGTGGTCCCACTGTTGTCGCTTCACGAAACCTGGGGGCTCTGAACCCTGAAGTCGCAGAGCTGGCTCTTGCCCAGTCTGAGCACAAAGCCCCGGTCTGTGTTCTCTGCCCTTTCCCCTTCCTGCTCTTCATCCTCCACAGACAGTATTCTCCCCGTCCAAGGAGCTCACTCATTCTCCATACAACCCCTCCCCGAGATGGCAGATTCTTGGTATGGGTGAACAACTCTTGTGCCAATGTGTTCTGGGGTGCATAACCTTCCACGTGACCCCGTCTTTCTCTGGGTAGCTAATGTTTACCTCTCAGTCTCTGCAGTCAGGGTCCTCTGCCTGGAGCATTCCGGAAATGATGAGGACATCTTTCTAGGGCTACTTAAGTGCTCCTCTACCAAGAATCACCTCGGCTTCAGTGCAAGCACTTCTGGGTTCCTGGACCCAGTGGGCACAGGTGGGCCGGATGGGAAACCTGTCCCCTGTCCCCATGTTGACTGCTGCTGTCAACTACTGACATTTATGGTTATAAGGAATCCCTACAGCACTTTTGTAGGGGTGATGGGGGTGCTGGCAGCCATCAACCCCCCCACGGTTGAAGGACCGGAATCTCAGAGAAAGTGACTTGTCAGGGTCATGGGCCTGAGAGGTGACAGGACTGAGCTCTGGGATCAGAACTGCTGACCTCAGGGCCTTCACTTTTCCTGAGTGCCAGCTGTCTCGTGGGATGGTCAGTGTCTGGCTGGGGCTAAGGCTAACCCCCACTTTCGGGTCTCCATGGTGACAATCGTGACAATCAGGATGACTGCCAGAGAACTGTCATCTGAGTGGGAGGCAGTGGCCTCAATTAGGTGGGACTACCTGGGGGCTTCCACAGGGTGGACGAGGGTGGAGAGGGAGGGCTGTCCCACTCGCCTTTTCTGGGATAAGCTTTGGTGAGCTGGGACCCCCGAAGAAACGCTGGAGATATCTTATCGTAATAATATTAAACAAACCATGTGTTGTCGATGAGGGAGGTGGTGCTCCATTCTTACCCGAGGGCCAAAGTCTCCCGGTGCACCCTGGGAAACCAAAACACAGGGAAACAAAAGGCTACTGATTTCATTATTTCTCCACATTTCCTCTTGCGCATTCCCTCTGTGCTGGGCATAGATTCTAATGCTAAGAACAGGCAGGCCTTACTTTGAATCTCCGTTGCCAATGAAAGTACAGAGGCTCAGAGAGGTTAAGAGATAAGGCCAGGGTCACAGCCAGGCAGTTCCTCATCTCTGGCTGCACCCTGGGATCCAAGGCGAGAACCCAGACGGTGCAGCCTCCGAAACCTTGGACTGGTGAAGAATGTTAAAGCCATGAGCTTTGGCACGGGTTATGTCACGAAGGAGGCAGCTTCTCTTCGGCCTCAGAGCCCTGGAGTAGTTTCTGTGGCTCTGGCTGTACCAAGACCAGCTGAGAAGAGTCAGGACACCTACCAGCCACACTAGTGCCTCATGCACCCACCAGCAAAGACCGTTCACATTGTGACCTCATGAACTCCCCAAAGAGCTTTTACGTAGATGGCCAATCTGAGACCCTCACAGCTTGGCAGCTCGCCAAAGAGGAGGCTCTGAGGCACCAGGTCCCGTGTCTTTCCATGGCTTTTTCAGCCCTCCTGGCAGCTAGGGGCACCAATTGGCTTGTCATATCTCACATCCAGAAATATACAGTCGCTTCAGGGGCTGTGGCCCTGTGGAGTCCAGGCTCCCTCTGACAGTGACTGAGCATCTTTCTATCCACACACCCACCCACTTATTTCCCGAGGGTTGCCAAGAGAGCCCTCCGCCATCTGTGTCCCTAAAGTATGTCTCCCTCACAGAGAACACCATCCACCATCAATGTTCATACTCCAACCCCCCCCCCCCCCACCAGGTGTCCTGCTCGCTGCAGAAACTCGCCTTTGTTATGTTATGCTGGGACACCAGAATCCAGATCCAACCCTCCCAGCATGTGGCTAATGCCTTACTACGTGAGCTTGTGGCCATTTTTAGAGACAGGCACTGACACCACCTGCTCCACTCCGCAGATGCGGAATTGGAGGCTCAGAGGTTGGGTAGGGGGCTGATTTGCTTAACTTCCCACTCTGGAACTGAGGTTTGGAGTTGGCTGCTGGCATTCTTCATCAGCACACAGTGTCTGGTCAGGCACACTTACCTTTTCCCCTTTGGGGCCTGGAAGTCCCTAGAGAAGGAAGACAGAGAAGAAACAGCTGTGAGGGAGGCAAACTATGCTGGCTCCACTTCTGACTGCCCCGTGGCCGTGAGGGCTGAGGGACGTGTGGGACTAGCACAGCTGTGTGCATCTGAGGGGGACACTACACAGGCCTGTTAAGCTGTCCTTGCTGCCTCCCAGAAGCTTCACACCTGCCCTCAGCATGATGGTGACAAGGGTTCGGGGGTCAGCAGCAAGGGTCCACAGGCACCCTCTGAGGAGGACAGGGCACGTCCACTAGTTTTTCTGCCTAGAGGGCACACATATTCCATGCCTTATCTCTGCCGGGGAGGAGGCCATTGTCCAGAGTTGCCGTCAGTCTCCAGAATCCTTGCCTTTAAGATCAGTGGCCTCTTGAATTCTAGGCTCCATCCATCTATCCTTCAGTAGGTCGCCCGTTCACCCACCCACCCACCCACCCATTTACCCATGCATTTACTTATTTTCCGACTCTTCCACTATTTATCTATGCACTCACCCATTCACCAATTCATGCATCCATGCATCCATCAATCTACGCACTCTCCATCTACCCATTTACCTGTCTCTCCAACAACCCACTCATCTATCCATTCATCCATGAATCCATTCATCTACCCACCAGTGGAGGCTCATTTATCCTTGAATTAACTCACTCGTTTATGCTCCCATCATCCATCCACGCCTCCACCCATCCAGGCACTCACTTATCCACTTATCTACCCATCTATCACTCACTCATCTGTTCACCCACACCGAATTATTTATTCAATTGCGCTTATATTTTCTGTGCACCTTGCTCATCTGCTTGAGGATACCTGTGGGCCATGGACTCCCGGAGCAGCTACTGAGAACATCTCAACCTGAGGCCATCATGGAAGTCCTGAAAATATGCTAGACATTCTGTGTCTAGGGCCTACTGAGAGGGACCTGTAGATTTTTGAAGGCTGACTAAACTGTGTGGCCCATGGTTCTCCATAACTCCACAACATCCCCTAGGAGAGGATGCTTAGGAGCGAGAGGGTGAAAGGGCGTCTCCATGGTTACTCAGTCAGCAGATGGAGCTGAACACATATGACAAGTGGCTTTGTCTTGCTATCCTATAGCTGCTGAATTGACTTTCCAACCCGCTCAGGTGTCCCATGGTCACTCCACCCCCAGGGCAGCAGCCCCCCTACCCCACGACCCTCTAGCAAGTGTTTCAGTCACTTACTGGCTTGCCGTCCAGACCCAGAGGTCCCTGGAACAGGAGAAAGAACAAGGGTTATATACAGGAACATTCCTTTCATGTTTCAGGACCCCAGTGCATTATTTAGTGACAAGAAAGCAAAGCCTGCCCTGAGCCCTGAGGTCAGGGTACATCCGGTGAGGCCAGGGTAGGGAGTGGGGGAAGGGCATTCGTGTGTAGCCAGCCACTCAGAATCCCCTCCCCTGATAACTGAGCCCCAGTTTCTCTCTAAAGCCCTCCCCATCATTAGGGTGGGACTGTGGAGGGTTGTCAAGGTGATAGGTGCAGCTCTGGGATGCAAGCTGAGCCGTAAGCATCATGTCTGGGAATTCAGTGGTGCTCTCAAGGGGAGAGGGGGCTCTTTTCTCCCAGTGGGGTTGAACCTGGGATTCCATGGCCTCCCCAGGTGGCTTGAGAGAGAGAGAGAGAGAGCGAGCCACAGAGAAGAAAGCAGAGCTGAGAGTCTGAGAGAAAGACAGCGCCGAGGGCTCAAAGCTGTAGTTGGACAGGGGTTCCCCTCCAGCCGGCCTGTCACTTAGGCTGGAGGAGCTGTCGCTTAGACCGGAAGACTCTGGAAGGCTGAGCATTCTGCTGTGGCTTGTGGCAATAGCAGTAAGGGTTGGAAGAAGCTTCCTGGGCCAAGGCTGAGAGTGGGGTGTCTTAGGTGAGGCCTCTCTAGTGCCTGCAGAGGGCCGCTGAGCTAAGGGGCACGCTTTACCTGTCTATCCACTTGTCTACTGAATGAGTCTCACCTGTCTCCCTCTAGGGCTGGGTGGGTACAACATGGAAGATGTTGCGAACCAGGACTGTCTGGTCTTTGCATGCCCTGATCTCCTCTCCACGTGTATTTCACCTTTTCGGTCTTTCTTTTTTTTTTAAAGAAACATTTCAGTTTAACATGTACTTCACCTTTGACCCTAGGAGCAGTGTCTGCATCCCTACCCTTCTGGTCTTTGCACATGCTGTCCCCCTGTCTGGCTTACCCTTCTCCTCTCTATACATTTTTAGCTTGGTTACCTCCTCTTCCAGGTTTGTCTGCATCCTAGAGTCAGGTGGTCCGTCCCTGTTCCTGCTAATACAGTCTGGTGGTTGTGTGTAACACACGGATGTGCTTTCCATACAAGTGTCTAGGACAGCCAGCAGAAAAGTTTCCTCCCTTGACTCAGAGCACATGAGTGAGGTCTGACATGGAGCATGTGGCCAGGGAATGCTTGGGTCAAATATCCCTCTTCAGAAAACCTGAGCTCTGCTGGGTGGTGGTGGTGGTGGTGGTGGCACGGCGGCGGCGGCACACACCTTTAATTCCAGTACTTGGGAGGCAGAGGCATGGCATATCTCTGAGTTCAAGGCCAGCCTGGTTAACAGAGTGAGTTTCAGGACAGCCAAAGCTAGAGAAACCCTGAAACCAAAAACCAAAAACAAAAACAAAAACAAAAACAAAACAAAACAAAAAACAACAACAACAACAAAAAAAACAAACCCCAAACAACAACACCCACCCGCAAGACAACAAAAAAAACCCTCAAAACCTGGGTTCCATAGCTCAGTGTTTGCCTACCATGCACACAGCTCTGGTTTCAATCCCCAGCACCACATTAAAACTAGGTCCACCTCCAATCTCAGCCTTCCTAAAGTTGGGGCAGGAGGATTCATAAATTTAAGGTCATCTTCAACTTCATAGTGAGTTCAAGGCCAGCCTGAGCTACCCTAGACCCTGTCTCAAAATCTGAAGCTTCAAGAAGTGATATGATGCCCAACCAGCAGACTCTCCCATGTGGCGAAACTTTGCTTCATGCTCACAACTATTTAATACATCTCACTAAGAGCAGATCTGAGTGCAAGGAATATTTGACGTGTCGGGGGTTTTCTGTTTAGACTTGGGCCCCATTCCTACCGTAGCTCATCATGTGTATGCAAATATAGGCTGGGTATCCTCTATCCAAAAAGGCTTGGAACACACATATTTTGGAATGTTTTTGCATTTACATGATGAGATATCTTGCAGATGGACCCAAGTGCAGACATGAAAGGCATTTATGTCTCATTTGCATACACAAGCCTTGAAGGTACTTTTGCATGATGTTAGTAATTCCCTCCGCTCAGCCCAGTGTCAACTGTGGAATATTCTATCTGGGAGCCCTTCAGTTTTGGAGCACTTCAGATTTTCACATGAGGGATGTTAACCTGTCACACAAGGGAGGAAGGAGACACGGGACACATAGCGAATGAGTTCTGGCAGTTCAGAGCCAAGAAAGGGCAAGAAGGGGATCGGGGTGGCGGGAATGGTTCAGGAGGGCTAACAACACATGGGGATTTGGATCTGAAGTGGATGTGGTGAACGAGAGGGGAGGTAGGCAGTGTGGGCAGAGAAGAGCCCAATTAAAGCTGAAACCAGGTGCTGGGAACCCGGTCTTTAGGACAGAGCTGATCCACAGCCATGACCTTCATTTGCAGAGGTGGTTCTGGCTAAGAGAGGTGTCCCTAGGCCTCCCACTTAATCTCTCTTCTGGGTGTGTGATTGGGCCTCAGAGAGACTGCTGGGTAGTGGGCAGTAGTTGGGGTCAGTGACACTGAAGAGGAGAGGCTCAGGAGGGAGGGAGAGGGAGGAATATCCTGCTTTGTGTGTGTGTTTTCTCTGTGTAGCCCTGGCTGTCCTGGAACTTACTTTGGAGGCCATGCTGGCCTCAAACTCAGAGAATCTGCCTGCCTCTGCCTCCTGAGTGCTGGGATTAAAGGCGTGCCACACTCTGCCCATCTTTTTGTGGTCAGATGGCCCTATCTGACTTGACAACATGCTTCTAATGTCCCTCTGGCCTGGGGGAGGGTGGAAGTGGAAAGGGAAGGGCTGAGTTGATCTGAGCTTCGGAACCTTCTAGGGTGGAAACTATCCCTCTCTACTCTACCTTTCTCAGATGGATGCCCCATGGCCCACTGTCCTGTAGTCTGGTCCATGCAGAGAATCTGTGGTCCAGTATGTTTGAGGAAGACTTGGCTTCACTCTGGGAGGTGATTATGGTTTCTTTCCCATAAGCCTTGTCCAGATCATTTCCTAGTTTGTGGGTTTCTGAGTGGCAATGTTCCCAGTCTCATGGGTACCCACCCCATGTCCCATCTCAGGGCCTGGCTGAGCCTTAGCATAACAACCCAGGTATAAGGTATATATGGACTGTTTACAAAGTAGACATTTCCATGGGCTGGAAAAGAGCTTATGCCTGGCACTGGATGCTCATGAGAGAGAGAGAGATATTCTTCAGGGAAGGGCTGGGAGATGGTCTGTCTAAAGACAGAGCCCCAGACTGGCTGGATTCATGTTCCTGTTGTCAGGATTAGGGGTGGGTGTCTCTCCCATCAAGGCAACCCACCCCTGCCCAGACAATGGGGAATCAACCAGCAGCTACCCCACCCTTCTTGAGTTTCCTGCCAGAAACACCAAAGAGAAAAGTAGCTGAGGGCAAGGGACTTGAGCCTCACTGGGCTTGGGTTCAAATTCCTCCACTGACTCATGCTATCCTGCCTCTGGGAACCCTCTCCTGCCTGATCAAAGCCATAGGATCCACTGGAGCTTTTCATCACCTTTTGCCCTCCATGAAACACGACAGCTGTTTACAAGTCTCAGTTCTGCTTGGAGTCACTTTTTCTCAGGAGATCAGCTGGCTCCCGGATGTTTCTGGATGTTCAAGAAGCAAATAAAACCACAGGCTGCACATGAATGGAGAGCAAAGCCCCAGGGCAGCCTCTGTCTCCTGCTTCACTCAGTGGCCAGGATGTTCCAGGTCTTGATCTTGTCTATAAGGTGGGAGACATGCCGTTCTCTCAAGTGACAAGTTCAAGTCAAGTCCCAGGTCAGCCACAAGCTAGCTGACACAGAGTTGGTGTCTGAATTAGCCTTGCCGGAGGCAGCACCGGGAGTGAGCTTCATGTGGCTTTGACTGGGTCAGCTGTATCACCTGATTTTTTTTTTCTTCTTTGAACAAGGTCTCACACTGTATCATTGGCTGGCCTGAAACTCACTCTGTAGACCAGGTTGGCTTCAACTACACAGAGATCCACTTTCTTCTGCCTCCAAAATACTGGGATAAACATGAGCGACTACTGCTGCACCCTTCTAAAAAATTATTTGAGGCTAGAGAGATGGCTCAGTGGTTGAGAGCATCTGCTGTTGTTGTAGGGGACCTGGTTTGGTTCCTAGAACCTACATTATGGTTCACTACCCTTGGTAACTCCAATACCAGAGATCTGATGCCCTCTGGCCTCCATGGGCACCAGGTAGGCACATACATTCAGGCAAAAACATAGAGAAATAAAAGGTCTGTTTATTAAAAACTATTTATCTATTGGTTTTTTGAGACAGGGTTTCACTATGCAGCCTTGGCTGTCCTGGAACTTGCTTTATAGACCAGGCTGGCCTTGAACTCACAGAGATCTGCCTGCCTCTGCCTCCCCAGGTCGGAAATGAAAGGTGTGTGCCACCGCCGCCCAGCCAATTTGTTTTCTTTTTCCTTGTGTGTCTGTGTCAACAGAGCCCAGGAGGGGACCCCTTGGGTCCCCTGGACCCCTTGAGGCTGGGGTTACAGGTGGTGGCTCTTCCCTTCACTGCCTCAGTGGGTTGTTCCTAGGCTGGACTCGGCGGAGCCATCTCTTGAGAGCTGAGAACGGGAAAGGCAAGAGGGGTTCTGACAAAGTAAGTCTGGGTTGTGGCATCTGGAGGCTTCTTCCCTGGGGCCTCTGGATGATCAGTTGCTGAGAGCTACCCTCCTCAGGTTGGGGAATGTCCAGGGCTGGCTCTGAGGCTTTCTGATGCATCTTCCCCCAGGGCGAGGATGAAGGCAGGAGGTTATCTGAGAGTTGGTCCTTCCTAGTCTTTTTTTTTTTTTCCCCCTTCAAGACCAGGTTTCTCTGTGTAGCCTTGGCTGTCCTGGAACTGTGTCACTCTGTAGACCAGGCTGGCCTTGAGCTCAGAGATCTGCTTGCCTCTGCAGGCGAGATTAAAGGCATGTGATACCACTGCTCCA